AACCCTTTCCTCTTCATTAGTTAGTTAGTTTCGCTGTTACTTAGTCTCACTGTCAGGTTCTTACTCGGTCCAAGCCTTTGTCGATCTTACCGATCGATCCAATACGGTGACTTCTACATTCAGTCTAAGTTCGTCCTCATTCCTCAGCTCTAACCTTTAGTCACATAAGCGGACTTTGGAACTTTCAAATTAGGCGATTGAAACGAGAAGACTTACTACAAGAAGCCAAGGTTTACTGAAGGATCAAGATTCTCTGGTTTTGAAGGTGGTTATCTCAATTTACAATAACAAATTGAGAAGCAGTGCACGAGAGCCGATAAGTAAAACGGAAGAGTTGGGGAAAGAGATTGGAGGATGTGGGGGGAGGGGAGAGGGTTGGATGACCAGACTTCCCTTCCCGTCCCAGTTTACTTCGTCTTGTAGGCTCTTCTTTTGCAATGATTCATCGATAGGATAAGGTGTTTCCTATAGGCAAGGAAGAGTCGTTTATATGGCCAGCTACTGCCTACACGCGTATTACTCAAACAGAGACTAAAGTGCCACAATGAGCTCGACAAATAGGTACGAGAGTTTCCTGAAGCGATAGACCGCCCACTCCTTCAATGTGCCGCTTTGATAAGCCTTTTGAGACCTTTGAGGAACACTCGAGGAGCTTGGAAATCAGTGGCCGAAGGCAAAAGTTTTATAAAGTGCGGACCGTTGCTTCTATAAAACGGAGGTGCTGGTTTTTCCTCTTGTTATCGTCCAAGACCAAACATCGGTAATCTGACCATTGTTGACGGGGTGGTTAACGAAAACCCTTGTACATGCCTTTTTTACTTCAAAGGTTGATTATTGCAACTCCCTGCTGTATGGCCGACCCAAATATTTATTGCAAAGGCTCGAAAATTTTGTCGCTTAAAGTTGGTCATTAATTAACCTGTAGGAAATAGGACTATAGGAAGTATTTTGAAGAGAAACTGTTAAGAAGTCAGTTCTTTATATTCCTGTGTATTTACGACAAAACACCAACTGCCGCGTCATTTATGTGAAATAATCTATATACGCGGTTAAGTCTGCCGACCCGAGCCTTTAGCTATTTTAGCGAGGTAAATCCACATAATAATTAATCTACATATCGTAACACTCTATTAACAATGACATATCTAAGACTGGTTTTCAACTGACTGTGAAAGTTCATTAGGTAGTCACTTTGTTTGATTGATCAGTTAAAAACCAAAATCGATTTCCAATTTTCGTCAAACCAGTCCAAACCGGTATCTTTGTTTTTCCGCCATTTGGGCCGATTGAGTTTTCCCAGATTTCACTTTTTGCATGACGTAGAATGTATTTCAAGTTGCGCCTATTGGAGTCGATTTCAAATTATCCTCAAAATATGTTTTTAAGATTCTACTTCGCATTGTGTCCTTTGGTTAATATCATGCACCTGAATCCACAATTAGTGAATACTTTGATTTTGGTTTCACGATTCCCAGTCAATTGAAAAGCATTCGACCTCTCCTCCAGCATTGAAACCAACTAACAAATTTGGCCATAACTCAGGCCGTGTTCAGGTGGTTAAAGTTCTTTTTTCATCAGGGTACAAAAGTGGTTATATAAGGAAAGGTGATGACACTTTGCGCAAAACTTTATTTACTTGTCAGACTGTTATGTTTTTGTCAACATTTAGAATAACTTTTAGGAGGTTTTCGAGCTCTTCCACATAAAAAAGAGGAGATAAACGCTGTAATTAGCATGTAACTGGAAAGAAAGTTTGTTGGTAAATGCATTAACATCTTAATAAGTTGAAGAAAAGTGCCCTCAGTTTTCATGAATCATCGGTCTGAAGTTTAAGTTTTAACAAAGAGTTTAGTTGAAGTTAATAGATTGATTCCTAGTTGTAAGCATTTGCTTCTTGTTGGTTAATTGGACTTTACAGTAAAGTCACAATGTTTGAGAGAAAAGTTTACTTTTTAAAAGAAAGAGGAAATGTTTTTCACGAGAAACAGGAGAATCCCAAAATCTAGTGCATTGATCTCCAAACCATGCACCATTTTCTCTGTATATTTGTCCATATTTCGAATACCTTTTCCTGCTCTACTGTGCTGAGCCTCTCAGCGTTGAACTATTTGATATGAAGCTATATTGAGGCCACGCCTTAAGACTCACATGGACATTACTTGAATGGCTTTAAAAGCGGGCCAGCGGATTGTGAACTCCAGGAAGAGGAGACTTGGGATGTGCCCAAAATATTTAACTGCAATCAATTGAAACCTTTTTGTGGGGTAAAATAACTTAACAAAAGCGGAGGAGGGATGCTGAAGAACTTTCGAGGACATCACTGTTTCTGCATTATTCCAAATTCTCCTAACACTGTAATTTAGTGTTAACTGAGTTGAAAACGCAAATTGGCCACCGTAATGAGTGAAAAGCTGACGTTTCGAGCGTTATCCCTTTGTCAGAGCGATTGGAGGAATGGTGGGTTGTGTGAGGGTTTATATGCAGAAAGTGGAGCTACGCTATTAGTGGGAGTATGGTGACGAGAAAACAAGAATAAATTAGTTGAATGAAAAGTGCTCGTTGATACCGTGGGGATTAAGAGTGCCTATTTGGAAGTTAACATTTTTTTTCTTGTGTTTTGCAGCTTTCCGAACTGCCTAGATGTAAGGAAAGGCCGCAAACTGCCATATGTTGTTTGGAATGATTAGGGAGATTGAAGTGTCTAGCGACTGGTTTGGATGCGTCCTTGTCATTTCTTTCCACGTCGCGAAGGTATTCTCGGAATCGTTCACCTAGTCGTCTTCATGTTTCACCAATGTATAACTTATTGCAATAAGTACAAGTTATGCAGTAAATGACGTTGGCGGAGGTACACGTAAAGTGATCAGTGATTTTAATGGATCTCCTGGGTTCCGACATTTTCTCTACGTTATCAATGAAAGGACAAGTTTTGCATCGTGAGCGAGCGCATTTGAAAGTTCCAGATTGGTCATTGGTTTGAAATTAACTTCTGACCAAAACGTTGCCAATGTTTTTGTCGAAAAAAAAAGCGAATGGAGGAATCGTGGATTATGCAGCGTAAAGTGTATCCTACTAACAGCCAGGTGAACCGGAAATTGTGTTGGATAAATTATCGATTTATAATTAGACACTCAGTATTCAATACCTCTAGTGGCCATCGAGAATGTCAATAACAGTTTTTGTTGAGACTGTACAAAGTCTTATTAACTCAGGATAAAACATAGCATATGGCATCCATTCCTCGATTTTGCAGACAGTTTATTATGATGCTACACGAAGATTGAAACTTAGTGGTTTTTGTCTTTGGGTCACGATATTTTCTCAACGCTATGAATGAAAGGACAATTTTTAGACCGAGCGCGAGCCCATTTGAAAGTTGCGGGCTGGCTATTAGTGGAGGTTGCGAAAGATAGTACCTGTCTCTGAATCATTTTGAAGTAAATTAACTGCATGGTTGTGAGGGTGAAACGTGAACGTGAATGGAATACGATTAGCATTTTTCTTCTGTGACGTTTGTAGTGCTCGATCAATTTGTTTCACGCGGTGGTGGCCTGCTTGAACGACAGAAACATGACCACCACGTTTTTTGAAAAACTGGCAAATTACCTCTGACTGATTTTTTTTTCAGAGTATTTTTCGCAGTCCCGTTTCGAACATTTATCTAATGCCGTTGTGACAATCGCTGAGACGCTCATTATTTAACAAAGAGGGTGACCTGTTTTGGGCGCAGATGAAACTTCAGCTGTCTCAATTTGCGTGTTATTTCCCTTAAGCTAAAGCATTGATTGAAAAAGGCTTTATTTAACTTCAATTTAAAGGTCTTTCTCAAAAGCTATCCCAGCCCTATAGTCAACTGTTTAACGGTAAATACATTCGCGGTTCGTCATTTTACAGTTTTGTTACGATATTATTTCCCTTAAGGTTGAAAAGATTTTCCTACAGTAATGCCTTTTTTATAATCTTAGTACTACTTTATAGTTTATTGAGGCAATTTTTTTCGAATATTATCGTTATTGACATAACTAAGCCTTGGAATATTCGCACAGGATTCTTCTCTAAGCATTCAGTATAACGAGTTATTTCGTCTAAATACTTACTCTCCCTGCTATGGCATAGCAGGGAGGCCCTCTTTGCGACCCATTTCTTTTCTCAATTAGAAGATTACAAACAGGTGTAATTAGGGAAATGGTTTTTTCAAAACGCATAAAATGAAAGTTTGATTCAAAAGAATTAATTAGGTATCTGTCTTTGTAATGCAGTCCATTAACATTTTTTACTTTTCGTTACCACACGATGGGGTGAGACCTGTCATGTGTAATGAAATCTGGCTTTTTGTTAAAAATTTGGCTCTAAAGTTGACTTGAAGTTCGTTCAAATTTCACAAAGTCTAGAAAGGATAATTTATGTATTCCAGTTATTTCTAATTTTACCAATAAAAGTATTATCAATAACTAATATGAGTCGATGCACCCTTCAAGTTATGAATAAGATAAGCGTTGTACACCCTGACGTTTTCTTCGTGCGCTGAAGATCGACAAGAACAGAAAAAAAAGAAACTATTCCAAAAACTTTTTTATCCCTTGTTGTAAACGGAATAAAACACATTTACCTGGGCCGGTATTATTATAGTAAGTAACATTAAAAAAATATATACATTTTTAGAAAACATCTGTGGGCAAGTCTCATGCATTCAAGTTTTAAATTGTCATCACTGGAGAGATCACATGCGAGTTATTAAAAAACTGTTTTGAATAATTTGCCACATAGAAAAAAAGAAAGAAACGTTGAGGAAATCTTCCTTTGCATTAAGTATAATAGAGTTTAACAAACCAACTAAATCCAGGAGGTTCTATCTCCGTTGTAACAATCGCTGAGACACTCATTATTTAACAAAGAGGATGACGTGTTTTGAGCGCAGATTAAACTTCAGCTGTCTTAATTTACGTGTTATTTCCCTTAGAGCTGAAAATCTCACAGTCGCTTTCCGCTAGAAATATAAAGGTTTTTTTTTCTAACAACATGCTCTTTGTATCCTACTGCTTCGTTCTCACCGGTTTGGTTTCCATAATACCAGAAGGAAAAGGTAAGATTTTCCTACAGTAATACCTTTCTTATAGTCATAGTACTACTTTAAAGTTTACTGAGGCAATTTTTTACCTGTTTATTATCGTTATCGACATGACTAAACCTTGGAATATTCGCACAGGATTCTTCTCTTAGTATAAAGTATAAATTTTTTTGCAAAAAGACAGCCGAAAAAATGAATTGTAGGAGAACCACCAGTGAAATGAAAGAATTTTCTCCTCCTGTCACTTTCTTAATAATTTATTTTGAAGGCTGAATGTTTTTTTTTTTTGTGAAATGTATTTTAAAAAGGACAGTTGTACTTATTAACTGCTGTTCTAAGCCATTGACGCCGTCTTACCTATCTATGAAATTTGTTTTTCAGGAAAAATGCTGTGGATATTTCGTTATTTTCTTGTCTGTGTTTTGTTCACCAACCTTGTAACCGCTGAGGATCAATGCAGGATAGAAATTAACATTCGTGGCATGACTCTCAAAGGTTTCGTTTTCAAGAGAATGTCAGTAGCAGCTCCTCATTTCTGTGATTTCTTATGTGAAAGGGAAATTATATGCCAGAGCTACAATTTCAACAGAAAAGAACAGATCTGTGAATTGAACAACCGCACAAAGGACGCAAGACCCGAGAACTTCCGCTCGGATCCAGCGTGGTTTTATATTCGCCGTTTGAACGCAAGAGGTAAGTATTCAGCCCATAATATTTGATAATAATTATCAATATTTTGGTCATACGCTCGACTTTGCTTACAGTCCGCGTTTTCTGATCTCCCGCGCTCATCGGTATTGATTTTTCTATCATTTCTCAATTCTAATAATGAACGACATCAGTTCTATCCCTTTTCTTTGTAGTTGCTTTGTAGTTTCCCACCAATAACGTAGCTCCATCTTCTGCAGATAAACACAAAACCCACAATTCGTGTGGAAAGGAAACGAAACGTTAACTTTGAAACTCTGAACGGTGGCCAACTTACGTTATCAACTCGGTTGACAATACCAAATAACCTTGTTATACTCTCTCACCGACGCAGCACCACACTTTCTTTAGAAACTTACCCCCTTTATTCAATTCAGCTTTTATTCAACTTCTTCACAAAACAGCTTTGATGAATGTGTGAAATAGTGACAACAAATTGTTTATTTCAATTTCTTCTTTAAAATGATACAAAAAGCTTAGGGTCTTGCAAGAAGATAAAAAAGCTGGTGGTTCTAAAGGAAGGGTTTAAAAGTGTGGGGGGCCCACTTCCCAAGAGAAGGGTGCTTGACAGAGCATTTAATTTAACACATTCAAAGGCGGAAATTTAAGTGAATGGGATTAGATCCTCATTCTAATTCTCTCGTGTTTTTCACTCTCGGCTTTCGACGTGTGCACCCACATATATTTAATTTTCAACATTTTTACCCTTACCAGCTCCCTTGGGTTCGATTCCGGAGTTACCAGCACGTTCATGCCGGGAAATAACAGCAAGCGAAGGAAAAAACACTGCAAGCAACAAATACTGGCTGGATCCATCTGGCACTGGGAAGGGAATTCTGGTTTACTGTGATATGCATTTGGAAGGTAAATTATTAAATTTACATTCGGAAGGTAAATTTTTTATATAAAAAAGTCATATACATTTATTCGGTTGGGGGATGGGAGTGTAATGAGTTTGGCGACAACCATGAAGAATTTGGTGCCAACTAAGGAGGATTTTGCTAAAACTAAGTAGTGGTTTGCCACAACTAAAGAGTGTAATGCGACAACTAAAAATTTTTTGCGACAACTAACAAGTGGTTTGCGACAACTAAAAAGAGTTTGGCAACAACTAAGGAGTGCTTTGCGACAACTTATTGCGGCAGCTAAGGAGGGTTTGGCGATGACAATGGAGAGTTTGGCGACAGGGTTTGCTGACAACTAAGAAGAGTTTCGTAACAACTGAGCAGAGTTTGGCGACAATAAAGGAGGGTTTTGCGACAAGTTAGCAGTGTTCTTTGCCACTTAAGGAGAGTTTGGCGAAAACTGAGGAGAGTTTGACGCAACTAAGTAGAGTTTTGCGACACCTACTGGACCAAATGTGCAAAACTATACTTACAACACCCACTACACTGAAAAACACCCGAAAAAAACCTACTATACCAAACTACACTTTCTACACCAAACTACACCGAATTACACCAAACTTCGCGACACTATACCAAAGTAGACCTACTACAACTATTACACCAAACTACACCGCGCTGTACCTACTACATCAAACTACACCAAACTTCACTTATCACACCAAACTACACCTACTACACCAGCATTCACCAACTACACTTACTACACCAAACTACACCTACTACACCAGCATTCACTAACTACACTTACTGCACCAAACTACACCTACTACTCCAGCATTCACCAAATACACACAGGACGAAATCACATGTTTCCGTATTTCTGAAACGTGGCGGAAACATGCAACTCCATGTTTCCGTTATGTTTACGTAAAAGTGGTCCGGTTCCGTTGTATAGGCAGCAACGGAAACGCGAGAAAACGTCACGAAACCGGTAACGGAAACACAGGTTATCCGTCGTGTTTCCGGAACGGTTTAACATGTTTCTGCCACGTTTCCGTTTACGGATTCTTACAATTTCGTCCTGTGACACTAACTACACCAAACTACACCTACTACACCAGCATTCACTAACTACACTTACTACACCAAACTACACCTACTACACCAGCATTCACCAACTACACTTACTACACCAAACTAAACCTACTAAACCAGCATTCACCAACTACACTTACTACACCAAACTACACCAAACTACACCAGTATTCACCAACTACACTTACTACACCAAACTACACCAAACTACACCAGCATTCACTAACTAGACTTAGTACACCAAACTACACCTACTACACCAGCATTCACCAACTACACTTACTACACCAAACTACACCTACTACACCAGCATTCACTAACTACACTTACTACACCAAACTACACCCACTACACCAGCATTCACTAACTACACTTACTGCACCAAACTACACCTACTACTCCAGCATTCACCAAATACACACAGGACGAAATCACATGTTTCCGTATTTCTGAAACGTGGAGGAAACATGCAACTCCATGTTTCCGTTATGTTTACGTAAAAGTGGTCCGGTTCCGTTGTATAGGCAGCAACGGAAACGCGAGAAAACGTCACGAAACCGGTAACGGAAACACAGGTTATCCGTCGTGTTTCCGGAACGGTTTAACATGTTTCTGCCACGTTTCCGTTTACGGATTCTTACAATTTCGTCCTGTGACACTAACTACACCAAACTACACCTACTACACCAGCATTCACTAACTACACTTACTACACCAAACTACACCTACTACACCAAAACTACACCAAACTACACCAAACTACACCTACTGCACCAAAACTACACCAAACTACACCTACTGCACCAAAACTACACCTACTACACCAAACTACACCAAACTACACCAGTATTCACCAACTACACTTACTACACCAAACTACACCAAACTACACCAGCATTCACTAACTAGACTTAGTACACCAAACTACACCTACTACACCAGCATTCACCAACTACACTTACTACACCAAACTACACCTACTACACCAGCATTCACTAACTACACTTACTACACCAAACTACACCAAACTACACCAGCATTCACCAACTACACTCACTACACCAAACTACACCTACTACACCAGCATTCACTAACTAGACTTAGTACACCAAACTACACCTACTACACCAGCATTCACTAACTACACTTACTACACCAAACTACACCTACTACACCACCATTCACCAACTACACTTACTACACCAAACTACACCTTCTACACCAGCATTCACCAAATACACTTACTACATCAAACTACACCAGCATTCACTATCTACACTTACTACACCAAACTACACCTACTACACCAGCATTCACCAACTACACTTACTACCCCAAACTACACCAAACTACACTTACTACACCAGCATTCACCAACTACACTTACTATACCAAACTACACCTACTACACCAGCATTCACTAACTACACTTACTACACCAAACTTCACCTACTACACCAGCATTCACTAACTACACTTACTACACCAAACAACACCTACTACACCAGCATTCACCAACTACACTTACTACACCTACTACACCAGCATTCACCAACTACACTTACTACACCAAACTACACCAAACTACACCAGCATTTACCAAATACACTTACTACACCAAACTACACCTACTACACCAGCATTTACCAAATACACTTACTACACCAAACTACACTTACTACACCAAACTACACCTACTACACCAGCATTCACTAACTACACTTACTACACCAAACTACACCTACTACACCAGCATTCACTGACTACACTTACTACACCAAACTACACCTATTACACCAGCATTCACCAACCACACTTACTACACCAAACTACACCCAGCACATCTACTTCGGTGTCAAATCGAAGACTGTTAAAAGAAACATGGCCTGAGTCTACCTGCTCGCAGTTCATAACTTATCCAATATACACCGCCGCATATACAAAATAAGCGTGGTACCCACGCAAGCTTTCCTGAACATAGAATTTGTATTCATCTGCCATTTTATAGTTTGATTTGTGCAGAAAGTAGACTTTTCCCACGAGAAATTCAGGATGGAAGCTTCACTTTCCTTCACTCGAAATGACTTCTAGAAAATTTTCAAGACAACAGAAAACCGATGTACAGCAAAACAGTCATTGTCTCTAAGACAATAGACGAACAAGGTATTATGGGCCACATTACTTTTAAATGAAACACTGCGACAGGTCGTTCAAAGGTCAGCCATATCTGGACAGCCATGTACAATTCAAGCACCCGGCCTCTGCCGCACAGAACTCGAACAGCATCAGCTCAGCACCTAGAAATACATTGACTATGTTTGTAAACATCAACAACTACTCAGGCGAAACAAACATGCAGAGAATGGCTGAGAGTCAACAGCTTGAGGAGGTGCCACATGAATCGGCCGGTGTTGCGAAAGGTCAAACTCAGAGGCGAGGCAACAATCGAAGGGGAAGCAACGAACAAAAGTCATACACCGTTGATTTCATAAAGAAAACACTAATCGGACGCTAAAACGGAAGCAAAATTCTTGCAGAACTGACTCTGAACAGGACAAAGAAGAACACAGGTGGTGCAAGGCCAATGAGACAAAAGAGGTTTGGTTGGAACAGATCCCAACGCACTGATAAATATCCTCTGACTTCCAATCTTTTACTCGCCGAGTTTAAACTACGGACATCAGCAGGAAGCAAAGTGTCCAAACCTTGGTTCAAAAAAAAAAATCGAAAATCGAAGCAAGCCAAGCTAAATTTAAAGGAAGCAGCAACTGGCTCCAGAGATTCAAGGAAAGACACAGCATAGTACTAGACACAACACAGAGAAGAAGGACCAACAAGTAAAAAGTTTGGGCAGATGATGGCCGAGATACGATCCAGAAATTCCACAGGGATTTGAGGAAAGCCTTGAAAACACAAAGGAGAAGAAACAAGTGCTATACAGTTGACCCAAAGTATGGAAGATGGATACCTAAAAATAGATACAATGTAATATAACCCATTATGTAATAGGCTCAGTTATGCACGCATTCTGATTGGTTCTCACTTATGATCTATTGGAGGACAGAAGTATAGATGACGTCATCATTAAAACTTTTTAATTCTTTAGTATATAAAACAAATAGATTCCAAATTGCCGTGCGTCTGTTCAGTAATAGATCACAGAGAACGTCAAAATGTGGTAAGAACAAAAATATGGCACACGAGGCGCAGCCGAGTGTGTCACTGATGTTCTGTATTCATCTCTCAAGGAATCTATTTGTTAAATAGACTGGGGAGGCGTGGAGTGAGTTAAGTAATGATGAGACATTTTTTCAGAGAGATTGTGTGAGAAAACTGGCTGTTTGCGAAAAGCAGATGGCTCCAATGATGTAAAGATCTCACCACAAGGTTAGGAAGATTATCAGATTTAAATGGATCTGATAATTGGACTGGAAATGTAAGAAACTGAATTCTGACATTTTGCTCTCTCAGTTCTCTCTCAGTTTGCTTGTAAGATTAGGGACCAGTCAATAGTTACATGGAAAGAGGGAGGGGGGAGGGCTGGCGCATTTTGAATTTGCTTGACTTTTGCTGAGTTTCGAGTCGTTTATCGCCAGAACTGCTACCCCTCCCCCAATGTAATATTATTGCCTTGATTGATGCAGTTAAGGTTAGTTCCATCCATGAATTAACGTAAAAGTTGTGCTTACATGCTGATTTCATCTGTTGGTAGTCTATGCAGTATTTAATTTTTAAAAACAATTTTAAGAACACCTTAAGAACATTTTCAGGTTGGTTTTGCAGCAAACACCCAATGTATAAAGACAAAATCAGCCTGAACCCCCAAAACACTTGTTCTTTTAAGCGAGTTTTCACTGTGTTGTCAGAGACAAAAGTAACTATGACAATTTCTCACTAGTATCATAACTTTTATTTTTTTGTGTATGTGTTTTATGAAGGATTTACAGCTGTTTTTACAAATCTTGGTAAGAGTGGAACAAAGGGTCCAGACTCAGTTGGCAGTCACTACACAGGTCAGGATCATGACGGACAAGTTACAGTGTCCAGCGGTATTCAACTGTGGACTGTGCCACACACTGGTGAATACAGAATAGAAACAATAGGAGCCTCAGGGGGGTACAGTAAGGACAGTGTCATCAACGGAGGGAGAGGGGCGCGGATGATTGGAAACTTTATGTTGACCAAAGGTGATAACATTAGTATACTTGTTGGTCAAAGAGGGCAAAAAGCGTATTCTAACAAAAAAACTGGCTCAGGCGGAGGAGGTACATTTGTAGTAAGAGGAAACAACAAGCCTTTGATCATAGCCGGAGGTGGAGGAGGAGTTGCAAATATGACAGAACAATATTCAGGATGTGATGCGTCCATAAACACAACAGGGAATGCAGGGTATAACTCGCCATTCCTGTCAGGAGGAATGAACGGATATGGAGGACAAACTGATGAACCGAACTCTGGTAGGTGAACAATTTTCTATTTATAAATACTGAATTTTTTTAATTTTGTTTTTGTTTTTTTTCACATTCTACTGCCATCCATCAATATTTCGAACAAAGAGGTGGTACTGGTCGCTTAAATTTGAATTTTTTTGAGAATTACTAAAAGCCATGATCTTTTCAGTAGCTAATGTCAACTGTAAATCTCTTGATTTTAGGTGGTGGCGGTGGCGGTGGCGGTGGCGGTGGCTTCTACAGTGATGGAGAAAACACAGATATTTCTAATGGAGGGGGAAAGGGAGGTAAAGGATTTGTAGCCAAGGGAAAGGGATTGGGGGGAGCATATCGGGGTGGGTTTGGAGGTGGGGGTGGTTATAGTCTAGATAGTGAGTTACCTGGGGGAGGTGGAGGGTACTCTGGGGGAAGTGGAGGTGCGAATAAAAATATTTCCTGTGGTGGAGGGGGAGGTTCTTTCAACAACGGAACAAATCAGCAAAATGAATGTTGTTATAATACTGCTGGACATGGTAGTGTGATCATAACGCTTCTCCATTGAAATACATGGCAGCACTTTTCTTAGCGTCTAGTGGTTATTCTGTTTTGAAGCGCTAATTGATGTCTGTTTTTAAACTCAATAGTTTAACTTTTTTGGATCATTATTTAGATTTTGTTATTAAGCCGTGTTACTGTAAGACAAACAGTGCAACATGTGGTTCTAGAGGTGTTTATATTTGAGGTTAGAATTAAAATTCACAAACAAAATTTGCTAGAACAGATGAGTTTGTGAATTTTTACTGACCTTACAAATTTTTTGACAGCAAAAGCTGTAATATTTGTTCTTTTTCCGGCTCTTTTCGGAGCAAATAATCAGATGTTTTTGACTGTTCATACAGTTCTGTATTCATCTCTCAAGTTCAGTGGACTCAAACAAGTCTTTACTTTAAGCGTTTTAAGCAAGGTTTAGAGCGTGCGACCAATTAAAAGTTTTTTGGCTGTGGACAAAGTTGCTTATCTATTGTAAAAAATCTAAAATCAATGCAAAAACCCGTTGCACTTCAAAGCATAGTGGCTTCTCAACATCTACATGCAAAGATAAGATACCAAAGAACACTGGCATTCATTACTAATAGAGAAGCTATTTCAGCGAAATTACTGTATGATGAGCATAGCTTTTTAGCGCCTAATACTCCCAGAGGTTCACTCTCAAAGGTTCACCCCAGAGGTTCACTCCCAGGTGTTCACTCCCAGGTGTTCACTCCCAGGTGTTCACTCCCAGATGTTCATTCCCAGATGTTCACTCCCAGAGGTTCACTCCCAGAGGTTCACTCCCAGAGGTTCACTCCCAGAGGTTCACTCCCAGAGGTTCACTCCCAGAGGTTCACTCCCAGAGGTTCACTCCCAGAGGTTCACTCCCAGAGGTTCACTCCCAGAGGTTCACTCCCAGAGGTTCACTCCCAGAGGTTCAGGGGAAACTTTATGGTGATGAAACCATTTTTGTCAGCGTAATGTTTTCTTAGGCTTAGAGCTTACTCCCAGAGGTTCACTCTCAAAGGTTCACCCCAGAGGTTCACTCCTAGAGATTCACTTCCAGAGGTTCACTCCCAGAGGTTCACTCCCATGGGTTCACTCCCAGGTGTTCACTCCCAGGTGTTCATTCCCAGATGTTCACTCCCAGATGTTCACTCCCAGAGGTTCACTCCCAGAGGTTCACTCCCAGAGGTTCACTCCCAGAGGTTCACTCCCAGAGGTTCAGGGGAAACTTTATGGTGATGAAACCACTTTTTTCAGCGTAATGTTTTCTTAGGCTTAGAGCTTAGAGCAAGGCCCGTGGTCACATGCAAACGAGGGAAGGTAGGAGGGGGGGATGGGGGAGAATTAAACATGGCTCGTATGTCCTTAGTTGTATGATGAATGAATATGTAGGTGATAAAAACAGTGAACAACAAATTATCCCACGTCTTTTTTCACTCAAATTCTTGCGCGTTAAAAGCATACAATGTTATGGTGAGGCAAGATTATAGTTCATAATATCTAGGGGACAATGTCAGCCACAAATTGCTTTCGCTTATAGAATAAAGAAGGAGCAAATGCCAGGAATGTTTAGACTTTAAGTAGCGTGCTCTTTCACTCAAAGTGGAGTAAAGCACTGTAATTTTCATGTTGGAAAGAACGATTCTGCTTATAATAGATAGAAATATATTGAGAACATTCGTTGCTGGTGGATTGACTAAAAGTTCCCAAGAATTGTTTCTAGGAGTTACAGAAGAGCAATCACTTTCCTATATTGTAGGTCTATAGTGTAGATTTTAAGGTAAACTCTGGTGAAACTCAATAAATTGATATCTGGCTGTCGGTATTTTCTACACGTTTGTTAGTTGAACCTAAATTAGTAAGTCACACCGACTGAGAGCAAGGCTAATTTGTAAACGAACGAAAAAATAACCATGTATCTTACAGGAAAGTTCCTGAATCCCACAACTTCACTTATCATTTTAACTCGTCTTTGATGTTTTTTCGCAGCACACGAAACCAGCCTTGACTAAAGGTCTTTGCAGGGTAATTGAAAATTGTATGATGCATAAATATTTAGGTGATGGAAAACAGTGAACAACAAATTATTCCTGTGACAGCCTTGTATAGCTGGACATTCCTAAAGACGGCTACAAAAAGCGATGCGAATTGTTTGAGGATTTCCAACTCAGTTTCTGATTGGACTTCTGATTGAGCAATCGGAAGATATTAAATGAATAATTCACGCACACTTTTGATAAGAAATTAGTCGATCATTACAAGTGTCTCTTTCACTGAACTTAACTTGAGCGGAAAACAACACAGATACAATTAAGTACAAAGTAAAATTCGCTGAAATGGTTGTGAGTTGCTATATAAAACTCATCCTAGTAGATACGGCTACTTATTCACTTGCACAAAGTGAAAACAATTGGATCGAGACAGTTGCTGGATGGTGACAATTTCCAGCAGAAATGATAAATACCTTGCCATGAAAGTTTCACATGTACTAAAATATGACGTGAATTGAAGCCTGGACGGAGCTCCTCAGCCAATAAAATTACAATTTAATTTCTAAAAACGGATAATTCTTCAGATAAATAAAGGGGTAAGTTTCTAAATAAACTGTAGTGTTGCGTCGGTGGGAGATTGTAACAGGGTAATTTGGTAACTGAGTCAATAACGTGAATTGGCCACCGTAAAAAGTTTAAAAGTTGACGTTTCGAGCTTTAGCCCTTCGTCAAAGCGAGTGGAGGAATTGTGGGTTGTGTCTGTTTTTATATGAAGAAAATTGAGCTACGCTATTGGTGGGAATATGGTGACGAGAAAACAAGAATAAATTAGTTAAATGAAAGGCGCTCTTTGATACCGTGGGGATTAAGAGTACCGACTTGAAACAACAATTTTTGTTCTTGAGTTTTGCAGCTTTCCGAACTAATTGCCTAGATGTAGGGAAAGACTGCAGACTGCTATATTCTGCTTACAATGATTGGGGAGATTAAAGTGTCTCGCGACTAGTTTGGATGCTTCCTTGTCATTTCTTTCTTTCGTGGCCCCATACATTGAACTCGTTCGGACATAATTAAGCCAAACTAGAAAAACGCATACTATAAATTGCCGCATATAAGCCTCTTCCCGGTCCATCTGACAGAAAACAATGTAGGCTCCCCTAGTTTTTCCTGTTTTGATAGATAGGAACTCTGTGCAGTTTAAGAATAAATCATGGCGCGCGGAACGATAAGTTTATCACTTCCTTTTATTATTGAGGATGAACCTTCCTTTCGTTCTGTTTCAGTTTTGTTCGTGTTGTTAGCTTTAATTCTGTTCCAAATGTATTGAAATGAGGTAACTGCAGGATACCCTGCCACTTTGGTCCACCTCATTTACCTGTGTTGGGAGGCTTTGAAGATCGAGGCAGAACACAAGAGACGCTATTGTTATTCAATGACATGTAAATGAGTGGCAGGGTATTCTGCAGTTTAGCCAAACCTGAACTTAACTTCAACAGACGCAAACTAAACCTGAACTAACCGAAGATAATTAGCTTAATTCAAAATACGCAAAATGTAATATAAAATTTGACACATTAAATAAAGGGAGCACACAATCTAAGACTAATTGACATAAACTACAAGAACGCTTAACTTGCAAGAACTATAAATATTCCGATCAAGTACCGACGACGCAATATTGCTAAGCTCCAAGCCTTCGTCGATCTTACAGATCGATCCAATATGGCGACTTCTACATTCGGTTTAAGTTCGTCCTCATTCCTCAGCTCTAACCTTTAGTCACATAAGCGGACTTTGGAACTTTCAAACTGGGCGATTGAAACGAGAAGATTTACTACAAGAAGCCAAGGTTTACTGAAGGATCAAGATTCCCTGGTTTTGAAAGTGTTTATCTCAATTTACAATAAGAAATTGAGAAGCAGTGCACGAGAGCCGATAAGTAAAACGGAAGAGTTGGGGAAAGAGATTGGGGGATGTGGGGGGCGGGGAGAGGGTTGGATGACCAGACTTCCCTTCCCGTCCCAGTTTACTTCGTCTTGTAGACTCTTCTTTTGCAGTGATTCATCGATAGGATGAGGTGTTTCCTATAAACAGGGAAGAGTCGTTTTTGTGGCCAGCTACTGCCTACACGCGTATTACTCAAACAGAAACTAAAGTGCCACAATGAGCTCGAAAAATAGATACGAGAGTTTCCTGAAGCGGTAGACCGCCCACTCCTTCAATGTGCCGCTTTGATAAGCCTTTTGCGACCTTTGAGGAACACTCGAGGAGCTTGGAAATCAGTGGCCGAAGGAAAAAGTTTTGTAAAGTGCAGACCGTTGCTTCTATAAAACGGAGGTGCTGGTCTTTTCCTCTTGTTATCATCCAAGACCAAACATTGGTAATCTGACCATTGTTGATGAGGTGGTTAACGAAAACCCTTGGACATACCTTTCTTACTTCAAAGGTTGATTATTGCAACTCCTTGCTGTATGGCCTTCTCAAATATTTATTGCAAAGGCTCGAAAATTTCGTGGCTTGAAGTTGGTCATTAACTAACCTGTGGGAAATAGGACTATAGAAGGTATTTTGAAGAGAAACTCTTGAGAAGTCAGTTCTTTATATTCCTGTGTATTTACAACAAAACATCAACTGCCAGGTCACTTATGTAAAATAATTTATATACGCGGTTAAGTCCGTTGACCCGAGCCTTTGGCTATTTTAGCGAGGTAAATCTACGAAATAATTAATCTACATATCGTAACATTATATTAACAATGACATATCTAAGACTGGTTTTCAACTGACTGTGAAAGTTTATTAAGCAGTTACTTTGTTTTCTTGACCAGTTCAAAACCAAAATCGATTTTCAATTTTCGTCAAACCAGTCCAACCCAGTATCTTTGTTTTTCCGCTCTTTGGGCCGATTGAGTTTTCGCAGATTTTACTTTTTGCATGACGTAGAAAGCATTTCAAGTTGCGCCTATTGGAGTCGGTTGCAAATTTATATTCAAAATATGTTTTTAAGATTCTACTTCGTATTGTGTCCTTTGGTTAATATCATGCACCAGAATCCACATTACGTGAATACTTTGATTTTGGTTTCACGATTCCCAGTCAATTGAAAAGCATTCGACCTCTCCTCCAGCATTGAAACCAACCCACAAATGTGGCAATGACTCAGGCCGTGTTCAGGTGTTGGTGCATACTGG